GTCTTTTGAATTTTCAGGTAATTCATCACCTTTCTTAAATGTATGCAATTCAATTTCATTGTTAACTTCTTTAACTAAAATCATTTCGCAGAATCCTTGTTCGATTTTGTTTATGATTGAAAAAATTGTTGAGAAATAATTGTAAGATTGAATTCTATCCCCTTTGTGGTTCCTTTAAGTTTATTTACTATATTATGGAACATCGTATAAGTTGCATTGGGAATATTCAATTCTTTTGCAAAAATTTCTTTGCATTGAGGAACATTATCAGAATTTGCTAATTCATAGACTTTTTTTCCTGCTTGCAACTTAAGAATTTTTGGTATATTGTTACTCGGCTTGCATTGCTTTGCTCTATGCTCGTGTTTAATTACTGGAATGAAGAAAAGTTGACCATTTTCATGAGTCTTTACAAGCTCCATGCAAAATTGGCAGTTAGGACAACGAAACTTTTTTCCTTGCTCAAAATTTAATGGATAAAAAGAATTATATGAATCTTTTGCAATAAATATAGCAGCTTCTGTAGGATCTGTAAATTTTAATTTGCTATATCTTTCCTTGAGAATTGGAATTGGGGATTTTCAGGTATTTCCATTCTATATTTCAATTTTTTACGGAATTCAATTCATTTTGAATTAAATCCAGCATATCAGCTCCATCTCCTTTTTCTTCATCAACAATAGCTTGGATGGATACTGATATAGTTTGATTCTCTTCCACTATTGTCGGTTCGCTTTCCGACATGAGATAAAATTGAAGGTTTAACGTACTTTTGATACTCTGAGTTAAAAAAAGATTTTCTTAACATAATTTGATTTATTGGTCCTTAAAAAATTCTGATTCAAAATTGAATTGAATCGAACGAGTTTTCCTTTTGAGTCATTTCAAATATTCATGAGAAAGAAAAAAATTCTAGCAATTTCAAATATTTTTGATTTGATTGAATTCAAAAGTGTCACAAATATTCAATGAGAAAGAGAAAAGAGATCGAATATGTTGTTTCTGAGCGAATAGTCAAGCAATATTTCGTTAAGTACAAAGATCAGCATCCGGAAAAAAATAAATGGGTATATCAAAATGAGATTCCGCAAGAAATATTTGAAAAATATCTAGAAACGAAGAAAACAGAAAATATTGATGAAATGTTACGCTGTACTCGAATTGTTCATGTTGTTGATCAAGATAAAAAAGAATTTTATCTTGAATTTTCAAAAAAAAATCAAATTCATCACATATTAAACAAGAATCTAGATGAAGAACATCAAAAGGCTTATATAGATTATCTTGAAAGTTTACTCAAACTTGAAATAAAAAATAAAAATTAAATTAAATTAACCCTCGTTAGGATATCGTTGCAAATAAAGATCTGTTTCTCAGAAAGATCCTGATTTTCTGATAAATATTCTGTTGTAACTTCTACAAGGTTTAAGATATGAAAAACATTTTTGAATATTTCATCGCTATCAAATCTGCGGAAACATCTGGAATATAATTTCAAATATTTGTGAAGATTTGAATTCTCAATTGCATAATTAATTAAAAATTCATGTGAATTTAAAAAATCGGTAGATGAAATTTGCATGGGTATAAGAGGAAGTACACAATAATACCCCTGAACTACATACTCTGTAAATGAATAGTGAGGAGAAAGACTTCGCAGAATTTCAAGTGTTTTTATGAATTCTAAAGCCATCTCAGATGTTATATCGACTGCTTTATAAAATAAAACTATAAATTTGAGAAGATAAACAAAATCTTCGTTATTTATAATTGAATTCACGTCATTAAAAAAGTTGAAATAATTTGATATTAGTATATCCGAACATGGAAGAGCAGTTGCATATCCTGGGTAATATTTTAATAATTTTGTAAAGAAATTTGCAATTGCATAAGTTGAATATTGATTTTCGTACTCAATAATACTAGAAAAAATTTCTTTCTTGAGTAAAACTGCGTTTTGGAAGAATTCAACGTCAAGAATATTGTTTTTAATCAAAGCAATAAATGTATCGATGATATAGAGAGAATTGTCACTGCTGCTTATGAAACGTAATATCTCATCATATTGATCGGAAAATGTTGATAAATAAAGGTATTGTATGTTATCTAAAGCTTTAAAATGAATTAATTTTAATGAAAAAATGAAAAAAATCTGGTTAATATAATGCGATAAATATTCGAATAAATTTTCCAGTAGTATCAAATCTATTTGAAAGATATTCGAAGAAGTGATATTTTGAATTGTGAATTTTAATATTGTTTCATTTTGTGTAGATTGCTCGATAATGAAATGTATCAAAAGATTCATTGAATATGAGTCAATGGAAAAGCTTAAATCCTTAGGGATATCCAAAATAAATCTTAATAAAGAAGATTCGTCTTGAAAATTAGCTTCCGAAAGTTCTATTTCAGTCGGAGCTGGAAGATTCCGATCATTTATGAATCTCGAAACGACAGAAAATTTGTATTGTTTATATTTCATTATTCGAAATGATAAACTTCAAAATCTAAAATTTATTTTTTTACAATATATTTCATCCTATTGTCAAGGCTAAATTTTTCACCGGAAGTGTATCAAAAATTGATAAGATTTACGGTGATCTAATTATGACAATTCAATGCATCTCGTGATATAACGCAGATATAAACACAACTGATATTGCATAACTAATAATTGAGTCAAATAACTAAATTATGTGTTATATTTTACACATATTTCTTCAATTTTGTAATAAATGGATGTTTAACACTAATTTTTTAAGGACTTCGACTTTAGCATCACATAAATATGTTATTTTCTATATTAAAACGTAATTTTGGTGGTCTTAGAATAGAAAAATATGCAATATTCGTGGAGATAATGAGGGTTCTTAAACATGTTCTTAAAAATAAATAAAATAATACAAATCTTTATTCAATCTTTTGATATTGTTGGTCCTCTCTTTGTGAAAATACTTAACTTCAAAGAGTATTATGTTTTACCTAGTGAGGACCTTAAGTTTGCAAAAACATAATAAAAGTAAAATAAAAAAGATCGGATTTATCACAAAACTTTGAGTATTATAGGATTTAATATATTTTCTTAGTAGATTATATGATTTAGTTTCTTAAAATCTAAAGTATTTCTTGAGGAAAATATAAATTGAAATTCAAAAAGTAAAAAAAATGTAAACAAATCAAATTTTAAATGGACCAAATGTTGATTTTTCATTCGTTTTCTCATTATCGAAAAAAATTTGGAAAGCTAAGAAGTCAATAACAAGTTATATAATACAACAAAACCCACATCGGATATGTTTTCATCAAATAGTCTCCTAGATTTGTTATGAAATTAAAATATCATGATATTTTAAGGGCTTTTGATTTCAATATTAGAATTATTCAGTTATGTCGTGCTAATATCAATTGCTTTATACAATTAATCGTTTACAAGCTGCAAAAATCGAACAATAATTTGACTTTGTAAAAAAAGTGCGTCATTTTTATTCGTTATACTTACAAAATGTAAACATTACGAGAAACATTTACATTTGTAAATGTAACAAGTAAAGTTGTATCGCATAATTTGACTTTGTAAAAAAAGTGCGTCATTTTTATTCGTTATACTTACAAAATGTAAACATTACGAGAAACATTTACATTTGTAAATGTAACAAGTAAAGTTGTATCGCATAATTTGACTTTGTAAAAAAGTGCGTCATTTTTATTCGTTATACTTACAAAATGTAAACATTACGAGAAACATTTACATTTGTAAATGTAACAAGTAAAGTTGTATCGCATAATTTGACTTTGTAAAAAAGTGCGTCATTTTTATTCGTTATACTTACAAAATGTAAACATTACGAGAAACATTTACATTTGTAAATGTAACAAGTAAATACATCAGATTTAAATTGTAAATGTAGTTTATCTCTCTCATCTCCTTTTTAAAAGGTATTACATACATACGAACGCATGGGTCACTCAATAATTAGCGTGATAATAATTGAGGATAGACTGTAATCGTAATTTTATTTTTGGACTTATATTTCGACATTTTGAAGTCGCTTGAAAGTCTTGCAAATGATTAAATTTGGAAAATTTGACCTAAGTCTGCATTATTTTGATGACTTAAACAATTCTATAAATCTGTTTTCCTAAAAATTTAAAAAGATATAATTTCAATTTCCCTAAATTTATGTAATTCATATATCACCAAAATATTTGGACTGCATTTCGTTTGTCTGCACCTAATTAAAGTCTAAATACCAATTAATTTTGGAGTTGCATTGCTTTTAATGTAAAAATGCACGTTTAGAAAAAGACGATAACGATTAAATTACAAAATCGATAACGACGACGATTAAATTACAAAATCGATAACCTCTCGAAGAAGATTGTCATTGACAAAAACTCTGATGTAATGAATGCCACAAAGCCTATTTCTCAGCTTGATACCTTATTTGATATGTTTGCTTTCGATGATGCTGCTTGCTTCTTCAATCAAGATACGCTTTTCTCCATGAATTAAATCCCATGAAATATGTTATTATTATGATTCTAAGATGGAATTAATTTATTCTTCTCTTGAATAAAAATTAATCCTTTCTTATAAAATTTCTTTGCTGTTAGTGTGCTTGATGTTTTTATCTATTAGAACTTTAACAAAGTGAAAAATTTTCTGTCCTTTTATATATATCACTCCTCACCTTGACATTCTGAAGAAAATAAAATTAGCAAATATTAACCAAAGATAAATTAGCTGTGATCTGCAGGATATGCATTAATTAAATGACATATTATAAACGATATGTCCTTTTCCCTGCATATGAAAATCTTTACAAGAGATGAGATAATTATAAACCAGCAAAAGATTTTCATTTTTTTCACCATCATCAGAAGGGTTTTTAATCGCTATCTTATTAACATCATTTTTCATCTTCTCTCTATTAGACTTTCAAATGACAGAGAATTTTACGGTTATTTTGAGTGATGCAAAAACAAATAAATTTGAAATAATGAGTGATGCAAATGACACTGATTATTTGCTGGACTTGGAAATTCAAAACATACCAAAGAAAGTAACGTTTTCTGATGTTATCAAGGTATACACAGAGCCAATTGATCAAAGTATTCCTCTTGAAAATATTATCAAACCAATTATATCAAATAAACCTGTGAAAAGTATATTAAGGCCGCCGAAATACAAAAGTTTTTCAGATCAGCAAAACATAACTTCGTGTACAGTTGTAATAATATTATTACTGTTTCTCTCCATTATATTTGTTGGTGTAGGCATATTGATTCAGAAGATACTCATACTCGAAATGGAAAGAGGTAATTCATCAATTAATGGTACATCAGGTTCAAAATAGAGATGATTTTTATTTTTTCTGTTTTGGTTGCTGGATCCACTATTACAGCATTGGATACGATGCAATTGTGCTTATGCAATCATTTGTTTGTTTGTATTAAATATATATATTTTTTATACTTCTAAAATTTTTATATCTTATCTGATGAATATCTACATCGTGTTATAAATGAGTAATTCTATATATATATTTCTTCTTAATTGTTATTGTCTTTCTAAAGATATTCAAAGCAAAGGTTAAATGCTATGTTCTACAAAGCAGACTTTCTAAGGGAAGCTTTAATTCAATGGTAAATGATATCTCAGTATTAAAATAATTATTAATTATTTAATATAAAAATTTCCATGGAAAAATACCAATACTGACAATATATAACATAATATTAGTGGCATGATTCGCGTGGGAATATCATACCTATATGAAATTACAAATTCTCCGCTTGAATATTTTGATTCCTAACTTCCCAGAGTTCTGCATTAAGAATCTTGACTTTTGGAGCTGTGGTAAGTGATGGAGAGTCAAATGTCGTTGAAGGGTCGGAGAATCCATACTCTAATGCTTCGCCAATGAAGATTGCAGCTCCATTTGGTCCTGTACCAATGCTGATTCCTGTTTTTGTTGCTGTTGTAAAATTATAGTTCTTTCCTGACCATTTGTAAAGTGTTAAGTATGGTTTTGCTGTGAAAACGAACATTTCACCGCTTCCATAATATTCATTTTCAATTTTCAATCCTTGAGTCAGAAAAGCGCCATATTTTGTTTGGTCATCAGCAATAAGGAATAGCATTAAATGGAGTTTCTTCCTTGCTTTGGAAAAAAGAGATGTTAATGAAACACCATCTTCATTCGCTGAATAAAGAAGCTTCCAAGTGCAAAATCGTTCGCGATATGGTAATGCATAGCGAATAATATCAATTTCGTATGTATTGAAGATCATTGATCGTCCAATTAAGCGAAAAGTATTATATTGCTTTTTCTTGAAATCATTGTTCTTATTAGATGCATTCATTGATGATATATCTGGAATGCGGTAATTGAAGCTCTTCTGAATCAAATCTGAAATCAAAATAAATCCTTCACGTAAATTGATTAAATCTTTTCTCATTCCTGTAAAACATGCGGTTTTGAGGGACTTCTTATCATGAATATCTTCTAAGAAATCAATGATTAGAATCGCAGCCGCATAATCAGCTTCAATTTCTTCAATATTCTGGACATTTTGATGAGAAAAGTGTGGTATGATTGAAGAATCAATTATTCCAAGTAAATTAATATGATAAAGTGGTTTTTTATCAAACAATTCTGCAGCAAATTCGAATATTAAAGTACTCTCTGTATAATATGCATAGCAAGGGCAATCTTGATGATTGTCTATATCAAAAAGGCCAGAAATTTTTTTCTCTTCTTGTTCATTGCCATCGCCATACACAACTCCGTCAATTTCCATATAAAAATTTGTACAAGCGATAAAATTAGATTCAAAATCTGTGAAATTCAAAATGAATTTGTTTAGTATATATCTCTGATTTCAAAAAATGAAAAATATTATTTTACAAATTTGACAACTTCAATTTCAATGGCATTAATTCGTTAATGTTTTGTATGGTATTGTGGAAGTTACACTTATTACATTTAAATTTTAATTCAGACACATTCAATTTTATCAAAATTTGATAACTTTGTACTTCGTAGTAAATCAATCATTGATTTTGAAATGATAAGAGTAATTCATATTGGATTGATATCTTTGGATCCTATTGGAGATGTTTAACTCAATAATGGCCATATATTTATTTAATTTCTGCAATAATATTTTTCGATAAAAAATACTTTTACATTCCAGCTTGTAGCAATGAACAAGCATGAGAGTTTCAACAAATATCTGCAGCGATAGATTAAGGGTTTCGTTTTGCTAAAATTGTCACTTTTATAGCATATTTGTTTTTGGATGTTTTGCGAAACCAAAAAAAAACTATGATATACAAAAAAAAAAAAAAAAAAAAAAAGGTAGTGGGGCTTCCAGGCACTTCGTGCCTTCTAGCCCTGATGTTGATGTTTAGTATAAATGAAGTTTTTATTCGGAGGACTCTTCTTCTTCCTCCATTGCTTCTGGGAAGAAGCCTTCTTCTGGGTCGAAAACATTATATAATGTTTCACTTTTCACAAATTATATATGTTTTCATGTTTTGTCACTTTTCTGTCACTTTTCAGGAAAAAACATTTTTATTATTATATATAAATGAATTTTACAAAACCTCCGTTACCGTTCTTTGGAAATAAGAGTAAATGTAAAGATATTATATTGAGAGAACTTAAGAAACTACCGAATGGTCTAACATTTGTAGATTTGTTCGGTGGAAGTTTCTATATATCCCATTTGTGCCATACAATATTCCCAGACTCAAAGATTATATGCAATGACTTCGACAACTATATGGACCGTCTCAAACATATACCAGACACAAACAATATATTGAAAGAGTTAAAAGAAAAGATACCTATAGGTAAGATGGAACGTATACCATTAGATAACAAAAATATTGTGAGAGAGGTTTTGAAAAAAGCAGAATATATAGACTGGAATAGTATATCTGCTAGACTATTATATAGTGGTGCTATAAGAGTTCATGACATTGAAACACTTATGTCAAAAGTTTTATATCTTAACTATACAAATGTTTTCAAAGAGGACATAGATAAATATATTGAGGGTATAGAGTTTGTGAGATGTCATTGGACAGAGTTGTATGAAAAATATAAAGACAAGGAAAATGTTTTCTTTATAGTGGACCCACCGTTCTATAACACATGGGATTTTCAATACCAAGTAGACTGGACTTTGAGAGACTCTTTAGAAACTTTAGACGTTATACATAACCATCCATGCTTTTACTTTACATCCGATAAAAGTGGTTTGGAAACCGTTATGAGATGGTTAGAGGACATACATGACTATGAGTTTAGATATGACAAGATAGAATATGAGAGAGGTCCTATAAAACTGGAGAAAGTGTCATAACAAAGAAATTTTACTAGTAAGTAAATGTGGTTGAAATCGGACTACTTGTTTTAGGTTTTTTCCATTGTGTCATTTATTTATTTGACGTGGCAGAAAAGTACAGAGAATATGAAGATGAACCAATGCCTGCAAATGTTCAGTATATGTACTCGTAAGAGATATTTTTTATCTAATATTAAATGGACGCACAGAACTTAGCGAATGCACAGCAACCTGGACAACCAAACCCAGAGAATATTCCAAATGAAGTTAGAATACAAACTGCAATGGCAAACTATGGTCAAGTGCCAACAGATGTACAAATGCAAACTGCCATGTCAAATGACGCTGCGTTAGGTTTGCCACCATGGTATGCAAATATGAGATGGAAAGAGTTTTATACAAACCCTGAAGTGGGATATAAACAACTTTATGCAGATGACGCGAACACAGGAGTTGACCCAGAATATGTTTTCTACCAGAGGAGAAACAGAATGTATGAGCTCCAGTTAAAGAATGCTATGGAACTCAACAGGAAACGTAAGAGACTAGGCGGACATTAGATTTTTACATATAGTAAATGGGTTTCTTCAGTAAGATAGGAAACTTCTTTCGAAATGTTGGAAGAGGTATATGGAATGGAATAAAAACCGTAGGAAGAGGAATTTGGAACGGTGTCAAAAATATTGGTAAAAGGGTAGGTCAGTTTGTTGGTATTATACCTAAAGACCCTGAACCAGAAGAGCAAGCTCCTGTTATACAACAGCCTGAACCTGCACCACAGTCTAGTTGGCAACCAATCCAACACCTCAACCGTATTAAAAAATTATATTTTTACCGTTCGATAGTAGTTGTATATGAAACTAAGTTCTAAGTAAAACGCATGGTATAATGGAATTATTTTTTTTTCTTCCATCTGTAGTAAACCATACTTGAAAGTCTGAAATACTTCCATTGGTGGTTCGTATAACTTTGTAGGTTTTTCGTAAAAGTCATTTGCCAAGCATAAGAAGAGTTTTGGGCGCCAGAAAATGAAGCATGAACAATAATAGCAGCTGGGTCGAAACATCTTTAAATAAATATGGTTCATCTCTTGCATATCGACTGTAAATATTTGCTAAAGGAAGTTCGACTTTCTGATTTAACATTCTTTGCAAATAATACCATGACATTGCAGTGAATTCTGTATATATTTTTCGTCTTTCTTTGGATTGTCTTCGTAGATTTGAAATGACACTTGTGAATTTTGTTTGTCATATACAATTCTCACATAAAGTGTGCTCTCGGTATTTGCATATTCATCAGCATATTTTGCATAACATGAATTTATTTTATCTTCTATACTTTTTAACGCAGTCTGTAGAGAAGATGAAAGGTCAACTTGTATTAGCTCAATTTCTTCCCACATTTTTCGTTTCCCTTCAGATATATAATCTATATGAAACCTTACAATAAATGGAAAACTTTTATCTTCTACAGACACAAACTTCATTCTACGAAAGCCAATAGCTTTTGTGACAGATGGGTCTCTTAGCCATCTTAATGGGTAGTCAAAACGATAGCCTTCATGCTTTACGGTCTCTGTCTCAAACTTTTGACCGACATTAGTAAAAAGTTCATCTAATGGTTTAGTTGTAGCAACTCTTGAATTTTCTTTTTCTATTGGAAGCATATTTTATCTAGAATAAAAATGTCGAAAGATATTGCTTCCATGAGAGAAATACAACACAACCGACAACTCATTATGCAAGCTCTAAATAAGAACACAACAAACTTTTCAAACTATTCTAAGATATCTGAGTCATTGAAAGAAGGAAACTTAAAACTGACATTAAACCCAATGACAGATGAGTTTCTATTTCAAGACAATAAGAACCATACTGTCTGTATAAATCCAACAAAAGGAACTTTAAACGAGAAACCTATAAATGAACTTCTTTTGAAAGCAGATGTTGACAACAAAGCTGACAAAGAATATGTAGACGATGCAATAGCAAAAGAAGAAGAAAGAGCTAACAATGCTTATGCAACAAAAGAACATACTCATCCTGAACTAGCAGACAAAACATATGTTGACAATAAAATGTCAAGTGAAGTGACAAGAGCTGAAAACGAATATTCTAAAAAGACTCATACACATTCTATATCTGAAATAACAGACTTAAACGTTAGCCTTGAAAATAAGGTAGATAAGGGACTTATGGCTAGTGCGTTAGAGAAGAAAGCAGATAAGGAATATGTTAACGAAAAAGATAAAGAAATTATAGAAAGGGTTGACTGGTACCATGAATGGACATCGAAGACTTTTAAAGTTAAAGCCGATACAGGATGGGTTTCAGGATGTTTAGACCTTAAAGCAGATAAAACTTATGTTAACGATGAGTTAGAGAAGAAAGCAGACAAGAACCATACACATACAAGTTTTACAACTGTTGCTATAGAAAGTATTGAAGGAACGGTTGAAGAAACTGGTGGGGATGTATTATATTGTAAACCTCCTAACTTTCCACACGGTTTAACATCGGATGACGACATAACGACGATGAGAAACATTAGATGTAAAGATGTTTATGTCATGAAGGATGAATATAATACTAAATTCACTGCTCAAGATTTATATGACAAGAAAGCAGACAAAACAGAGCTTCAAACATTAAAGACAGAAATGCTTCAAACATTATATCCTATAGGCTCTATTTATACGTCAATGAACTCTACCAGACCAGAAGTAGTACTTGGTTTTGGAACTTGGACTCAAATAGTCGACAGGTTTTTGTATTGTGCAAACTCTTCAAAGGAAACAGGTGGAAGTAAAACGATTTCAGGTGAAAATTTACCTGCGCACAGTCACTACATAGATTTAAGCACATCTCAAGCAGGTTGGCATAAGCATAGATATTGGGATTGGTCAGCAATGACAAAAGGTAAAGGATATGATGTTAAAGACAACGTTAAGTTTGCTATAGATTGTTTCTGGAGTAACACTGAGGGAGGAGGAAACCATACACATCGCGTTTCAGGATATACGCAAACAACGGGACAAAGTAAAGAATACATGCCACCTTACATGACAGTTTACGCATGTATAGAAATGCTTAGTCGTCATTTTCAACTTCTTTAGCATATTCGTCAGGAGTTGTCTTATATTTGTTAGGAACTGTCTTTGAAAGTATACCACCTTGAACTTTGACAAGTGTTTGAAACGAGGTCTGACAATAGTAGTTTTATCTTCTGCTTGCAGTGTGTACATTTTGCCATGTTTGCCTAAAACTTCATAATATTCTCTTGTATACTTTCTTCTATTTTTACGAACACGAATGTGAGTACCTGTCGGGTTCCCATTGTTGTCATAGTCAATAGTATTTTCATATGGGTCGCGTTTAGGTATTTCTATTTTTACTTTGTCACCTTTCTTAAGTTTGAAGCCGGCATTCTTTCTTGTTTGTCTC